AGTCCTAACAGCAATCCAACAGGGTAACCCGCGTACCACCTCCCTCCTGGCCGTCGCGAAGGAGAATGGTCTCGACATCGAGTTCGTCGACACTGAGCCAGCCAAGGGTGTCTCTGAGGACTACCTGAAGCTCAACAAGCTCGGCAAGGTCCCTACCTTCGAGGGCGCTGACGGCTTTGTCCTCTCCGAGTGCATCGCCATCGCTGTCTACCGTAAGTGCTACCCCGCCTGTTCGCTCCTCCCTGCATAATATGATGTCGAATGTTATCATTCAGTTATCCCTGTCTGAAAACTATTGTTGAAAACCTACTATTCTGATTTGCCTTTACCTCATCTACTCCGTCTGTCCAAGTTTTGGTGGTGACTCAGAGCTGACGGATTCCAGTTGCCTCGCAAAACGAGAAGACCAGCCTTCTCGGCAAGACCAAGCAGGACTACGCCACCATCCTGCGATGGATGTCCTTTGCCAACACTGAGGTCCTCTCTCCCCTCGGTGGCTGGTTCCGCCCCATCCTCGGCCGCGACCCTTACAACAAGAAGAGCGTCGACGAGTCCCAGAAGGCCGCCCTCAAGGCCGTCCACGTCATTGAGGAGCACCTCCTTACACACACCTACCTCGTCGGTGAGCGCCTGACTCTTGCCGATATCTTCGCTGCTAGCATCCTTGCCCGCGGCTTCCAATACTTCTTCGACAAGCAATGGCGCGACTCCAACCCCAACACTACCCGTTGGTACGAGACCGTCTACAACCAGTCCAGCTACTCCGCTGTCGCCCCCAAGCTCGAGTTCATCTCCGAGGCGTTGAAGAACGTCGCACCTAAGAAGGAGGGTGGTGAGAAGAAGAAGGAGCAGCCCAAGGCCGCCCCTAAGCCCAAGAAGGAGGAGGCTGAGGAGGAAGAGGAGGCACCAGCTGCCCCTAAGCCCAAGCACCCTCTCGAGGCTCTGCCCAAGGCCACATTCGTCCTTGACGACTGGAAGCGCAAGTACTCCAACGAGGAGACCCGTGAGGTTGCCCTCCCCTGGTTCTGGGAGAACGCCAACTTCGAGGAGTACTCCATCTACAAGGTTGACTACAAGTACAACGATGAGTTGACCCTCACCTTCATGACCGCCAACCTGATCGGTAAGTCAAATCACCTGTATTCTGAGTAGTCTGGTTGCTAATTTCTTTAGGTGGTTTCTTCACCCGTCTCGAGGCAAGCCGCAAGTACCTCTTCGGCTGCTGCTCCGTATACGGAGAGACCAACAACTCCATCGTCACTGGTGCGTTCATCGTCCGTGGCCAGGATGCTCTCCCCGCCTTCGATGTCGCTCCTGATGTCGAGAGCTACGAGTTCACCAAGCTCGACCCCACCAAGGAGGAGGACAAGGAGTTCGTCAACGACCAGTGGTCGTGGGACAAGCCCATCACCGTCAACGGAAAGTCCTACGAGTGGGCCGACGGAAAGGTGTTCAAGTAAACACTTCGCCTTCTTTTTGAAGTGTTTGCTTTGGTTTATGATGCGGACGATTAACGAACTGGCATGGGTATGGATAGGATGACGGATGAGGATTCATGAGATCACGCTGGGCAGCCCTGGTGGATCAGCGATACTGCCATAGCCGTTAGAGGCTCAAAATGCTGCACAAGAAGTTCATGATACCCAACACACAATATTGTCCCGATGCTGTGACGTCTGTTGTCCTTCTGCTTTGCTGCTCGCGTGACGTGCATGTGATGGGTCTCAAGCGTTTCTATGCGACTGCGTTGTTTATCGCGCACTCAACAGATAACGAAGAGTTTGTCTTCCCTGCCACTACGTTGCCTAGCAGCTGTCAGGTGTTCTCGACCCCAGATCTGGGCTCGAACTGGGGTGGGGCCAACAAAGTCGTGGCTTGTCGAGCCGAGCCTGTCATTGGTTACAAGAGACAAGGAAATAGCCCTAGCCAACCGCCGAAGCCGTCCAACGAAGGCTGGAAAGAACGGCGGCGTGGGCAAGCGCATGAGGCACATGCATGTCTTTGATCCTCGAGTCCTCACCTCAATCTCCATCTTGTCGACTTTTACAACTGAACCGAGCCGAGATTGCGGTCCCGCGACGGAACTATCACGGTGACATTCGCGCGCACGGCCAAACACAGCCATCATCACAAGGCACGCCTGAGCTGAGCGCGGGCGTTTTGTCGTCATTCGCTCATTGCTTTGCGACAATCGGTATCTTTTTTTGCGCAACGGAGGAAGCGTTGGAATCGGAACACCAGGATTAGCGCGACACGAACTGCGCAATCATTGCGCACATAATTCCGGCTTCCTGCGTTATCAGTTGGTGGATCGTGCTCTGGACGACGGAACGGCAGCCATCGGTTCACGCAAGTGTAACCTGTAACGGTAACAGAACAAACTGGTGATCTGACTTTGCGCTACAGAAACGCAACGCAAGGATTGAGCACAAAAAAGTTTTCTGGCCTTAAAGGTGGAAGGTGCGAAGGAGGAGAATCTCCTTGTTGAATCTTGACGCAAACAGAAGCTTGTAAGGAAAGAAAAAGTGGGTGTTGGGACAAAGAGCAAGCAAGATCAAACTGCGCCTGCGCATCTGAATACCAACTTTGGGAAAGAGAGACTAAGAAGATCCATCGGTTGAATTGGAAGAGGAAGACAAGAGGAACACCAAGGGAATGAAAGAAGATAGCGGAAGGGTGGTGAGGAGATCATCTGGAAATTCGGGAGAACCTGCGATCCAGGTCATTTGTCTAGTAGGTCTTTCCGTGCTAGTTGTGTTTGTCGATGTGGCTAGGGGCATGCATGGGATGTCGCATGTCGTGCAGGTCGACAAGCAGATGCGCCATCTTGCAATAAAGGCTAACACGAACAGGGCTCTGGAGGTGGACCAAGCGAAGACAATGTTACAGGCTTCCTCGTTCGATCAACAGCAACAAACTGGGCCAAGAACTCCGTCATAGCTGTGGATGCAGGCTCCCACCTTGCGTCGATTACCCGCATACTTGGTCAGGATTTCCCGCTTGTCTCTGATCCAGAACCGGCATTACCGGTCTCACAGAACGGTAATGGGAATGGGAATAGTAGTGATGCGCATATTGAGTCGCCATCGCCAGGCACTGGACATGTCTCGCTTTCCGACGAGGATTCTGGGCCTGAGACGCCAGACTCTGAGCAGGATGTACCCGTCACTATCACTACGCTGAAAAATGGTGCATTTGCGGGGTTACCCTTCCCACATCAAAGTGCTAGGGCAAATGCGCTACATGTTGTGAGAGAGCACATTTCGACTTATCTCATCACCCATCCACATCTCGACCATGTCTCAGGCTTCGTCATCAACACAGCAGCTTTCCACAACACATCTCGACCCAAGCGGTTAGCAGCACTACCATTCACCGTTAACGCGATCAAAAATCACATCTTCAACAACATCATCTGGCCTAACCTTACGGACGAGGATGGAGGCGTAGGACTAGTAACGTTCCAACGGCTTGCAGAAGGCGGGAACATTGCTCTTGGCGAAGGAAGCTCAAGAGGGTACATCGAAGTGTGTGACGGCCTAGGAGTAAAAGGCTTCAAAGTAAGCCACGGCCACTGCATGCAGGGACCTGGCCATGTACATCGCGGATCGAACGCCAACCTACTGGAGACCTCAGATCGACAAAATGCAAACCCTTCTCAATCCTATGGCCAATCAGACGGACTTGAAGGTCGTTCACAAAGCTTCTCCATGACTACACAAAGCGCACCCGGCACTCCAGGTTTCAGCGGAAGCACAGAAGCCGGCCGACGAGCCAGCGGCGTCACAGTTCCTCAACCCCATCAACCACCATCCCAGGATCACTGTGTGATCGACTCAACCGCCTACTTCATTCGCGCCGAGTCTACCCTCACAACTCCAAAACGCGAGATCCTCATCTTCGGCGACGTTGAACCAGACTCACTCTCTCTCTCCCCACGTACACATCAGATATGGACCGAAGCAGCTCCGAAAATCGCCGCCGGTACTCTCAAGGGCATCTTCATAGAAGTCTCGTACACAAACGCGCAAGCCGACGCCGTACTTTTCGGACACCTAGCACCTCGCCATCTACTCGAAGAACTCAGCTCCCTCGCAGCCATGGTAAAAGACAGCAAAAAGCAGCACGAGCGCGGCAAAGAAGAGCTTCGCTCACAGAAGAAAAAGAAGCGGAAGCGCGCCAGTGCAAGCAACAACCTGCAGCTCGAAAGCCTGACGTCCGTCGAGAACGGAAGGAAAGCAAAGATGGGCGGCTATCTAGGTGGAGTAGGCAAAGGGATAGATTCTCCCATTTCAACGACAAACCACTCGCAGACGGACGATGAAGTTATGAGCGACTTCCCGCTTTCGAGGGGTGATACGGGAACGAACACACCTGTTCCTTTTCCGCCGCCACTGCAGCATCATCAGTCTCTTCAGCGGCAACAGGATCAGCCACAGGATCAACAAAATGGCACCCCCGGGCCACCTCCATCTCATCCTTCAGCACCAGCGGCTTTCAGTCTGTCATCTGTCTCCGCTGAGCACAACCGCGCCATGCTATCTGCGGCATTCGACTCTCCGCTCAAAGGCGTAAAGGTCGTTATCATTCACGTCAAGGACTCCTTCATGGATGGGCCCTTGGTTGGGGGACAGATCTTGAGAGAGCTGAGGGAAGGGGAGGAAGCGCTGCAAGAGCAAGGGAAGGGCTTGGGGTGTCAGTTCGAGGTTAGCGCTGCGGGGGAGAGTTATTGGTTCTAAAGGTATTGATGTGGGGTCTGGCAAGATCGGATTCAAGATGTCTGGGCTAGAGAGGAGTGTGGTTTGGCGTTTGGGGGATGAGCGTCGGCTTTGCTATGGGATTTCTTGGATACTTGGAGGTTACGACATATGTACGTGTTTGGGCGGCTGTTTTGAGTATTTTGGGGGGAAATGTGTTAGGGTTTGGATGAAATATGTAGCATCATAAGAATTGTATACCACTGCGTTTTGTTGACGTCGAAATTATCACATCCAGTTTGGAAAGACAGTAAAGCTTCCGTCTCGCATGGTTCCGTCTCGAAATTACGACACAAACCTCAGCGACGGCAGCGCTACCTTCACACCAGCATTTCCCACTCCCCACCCTATCATCTCCCAAACACAGGTTCCCTCCGCCTCCCCTGTCGCCGTATCCACCACTCCATCCCATCAACAACCGCCCTATTCCCAATCAAAAGCGCGCCCTATCCACAAAGTTAGCTCTCGTCCTTCCATTGCCTACACTCCGATCTAACAACTCCAGAGGCATACCGGTATACCAACAAACCACCACCCCGCAATCCACATCGCCGTATCCACGGTATAAAACGCGCCCACACACCCGGCAGCCCATATATTCACCGTCGTACAGCTCATCAGTCCACGCGTTAGGGGCGCGAAGCGGTGCCGTGCCCGGGGCCGGTGCCACAGGAAGAGCATGAGGGTGTGGAGGAGGATGCTTGACTATGGTAGGTAGATTAGTAAGGCGGTTTCTTAGTAGGTGAGGTGGAGATGGTATGTAGTGTGTTCAACGTACGGGAATGAACACAGTAGTTATGTAAATCACATTGAGATCGTGGATGTCTAGTCCGCCGATGGCCATGACTGCATTGCAAGCGTAGGCTATCACGACGCCGGTGGCAATCCAGTATGGGGTTGGATTCCATTTGATGTATGGTTGGCGTGGTGTTCGGGTTCGTTGCAGCACTAGCTCTGAGTCCGTGGCTATTTCCTCCATAGCGGACTGCTTATGTGTGAGATGGTGTGGAGACGGTGTGGGGGCATGCGCAGTGGTGCGAGGTGCGAGGTGAAGGTAGATACATTGTGAAAACCACCGATATCCAGATATCGATGTGCTTAGCCATATGATAGATTGCTTATCACATCGTTACTCTTTGATAGGAAGGGTCTTGGCTGCTTGTGGTCGTTTCTTTGTCCCTGAACCGGTTTGACGAGGACGTTGCGGATGGTACCATGGTACTTATCTAGAATGCCGAATGAGTGACACGTCTTCTCTCGGCATATGCGTATCAACCCGTGCGTTGTGACTTTGTAGTAGATTTCACGGTGAGATCCGGCAATGCATATCTGTTTGTTTCATTGTTCCCCCAAAAAAATTCGAAGCTTTTCTACCAGCCGCATTGCATCAATCACCAATAACTCGCCCTCACACGATGCTACCACCATATTCATCACGCAACATGCACCCCAACTACGGCAGCAACTTAGGAAGCGGTTATGACAAAGAAGGCGATCTCGAGTCCGCGTCCTTCTCATCTCTTCCATCTTACACGAAGAGCCAGTTCTGCACAGTGCTACCCACACGGCGCGAACCGGTTCAAAAGCCCCGCCGGCGCTCGCTCATTCGGTCACCATCGGCAATCGTTGTGCTTATAATATACCTTATCGTAGCTGCTGTAGCACTATTTCTGGTCGATCCTCGCGATATTGCGGGGGTTATGCTAATGTGGGCCGTTTTCGTACCGGTAAGTCGCTTCTGTATGCCCGTTTCTCATCTAGCTACCCCAAACCCTGTATGAACAAGTCTTTACTAATTCATGTGAACAGATGGCAACCTGTTTCTTGTTTACGGGGTGCATGATTACACGCGATAAGCTTCCTGAGGATATGTCGCATTCCGTTCGATCGGCCATTCATCATTTCACCGGAACGACATACGTTGCAGGCTGTATCTTGGCGTATACGCTGTAAGAGAAAGATCAAGATGATGAGGGGAACTTTGTAGTAGCAGTAGGGCTATCGTGGTTCTTTTCCCTGCCGGTAAGTCTTTCTCTTCTGCGGCAGTGGAGGAAACACTTTGCACACATCGAACAATCTTACTAACGCACTTCTTTGTTCGCAGGTTGGGTTCATCATCTTGAATATCGGAATCGCTTTACTTATCAACAGATGCAAAAAGACGGAAAAGGAAGAGCCTTCCGAATAACCAGAAGATAAGGTGTTCTGCTTGTGACTGTTGGAAGATTGTTGACAAAAGAAGCGAGTAGGAAGACAAAAACTTAACGGGCACACAAGGTCAGGTGAGTTGCACGGAACGGTATCGAATGGATCACGAAATGAATGTTTTGGTGTTGTAGCACGCTATTGTAAACGACTCTGAGGACGTATCGGTACTTTCAAGCATAAGTTCGTTGCCTGTTATTACGTTAGCAATGTATGGATTAGAACAGGAATTGGAACCACCGTACGCGTAGCATTCCTTGCCATCGTCATAGGGGCGCGCTGGTGACCCAGCATCAACCTCCTGGTTCTTTGCCGCTCGACTTGAGATCGTTCGCTTCCTCTCTCCATAGATCGAGGCGGAAGCCCAAAGCAACCACATGATCCCGGCAATAACTCCATACGCGATGATCTGGCCTTGACTGGGAGCGAATCCGGTAAATGCGGGTGCATCCGATGCAAGCAGCAGGCCGAGACCACCGTTGATCATGCCCAGCGTGATCAAAATGCGTCCCAGCCAGAGGTGACCGTACGACCAGATAGTTCGGCGGCTGTGTTTCTTGAACTTGAGGTGGTGGATGAAGCCAAGTATGGGTTGAAAGAAAAGCAGAACAAACACGATGATGCCGATAATCGGGTGGTAATTGTCGAGCATGTTGACTGGGATGTTGTTGATCATCCACACCCCGAGACCGAATGCTGCGATGTACACAACATACGCAAAGAGTTGGAATATGCCATGGACGATCCAAACACCGCGAAACGATCCTAGTCGTATGAGAATCGATCCAACTGGGAAGAATAAGACAAAGGCCAGGGCTGCGAGGACACCATGGGCTACGATGATCTTATGTCGTGATTCTGATGAGAAGCCGCCACGGCCGCCACCGAACGATGAGCCGAAATCGTTGTCGCCGCTGTCACTACCTCCTCCAAATCCGCCTGGACCGTATTGACCACCGGGGCCATACTGCGCAGATACTGCGGTAGCTACTGTCATCTAGTCAATTGAGTCCTCAGGTTTCCGGGTTGGCTCCATACCTAAGCTAAGGAGCGTCGCTCGTGTGCTAAAAGTCATAGTGAAGATGTGAAATGACAAACAGCAACGCAAGATCGATTTGAAGGTCTTTCAAATCGATAGAAAGAAATATTGGCTACTTGATCTATTCTTACCTGCGACTGCTGATCTTACAACATCACCCACGACACGAGCCGAACAGCCCAAATCGATGATTCACGTCTGAAAGTGACACAGATGACGCTGTTTAGAACAGGAAATGGTCGAGCTTACGCGTTTCCGCAGCTTTTTCGTGTGTTTCGAGTGGTGGACATTGATGTGCTAGTCTGACTTGGGGCCGGGGTGCACATGGTGGAGAGCCGGAAGTAAGATGTCGGCAAAACATGTTGGGAAAGCACCGACTCCCATGGTGTGACGAGTGCCTCAGGCAGAAGATGTCGTTGACGTCGATACAGGATTAGTAAGGTCGTCTCATGGAGGCCTGGATGGTTCAGCCTTCCTGAGCATGTGTTTGCGCGACGTGCCTGTAGCCTTGCGCAGGCACGCGTCTGACTCGCTTGACTTGGCTAGCATTAGCATGATCTTTCGTTCGCGGGTGTAGGCAGCGACTAGGCGACAAATCTTTGGAGCTGCTCTTCCAAGTTTGCTGCGAACATGGTCGCAGGTCGGGTGGCCAGACAGATAGTGAGAGGTGCGATCGCGATCGATTACTGGTCACCCGTGTGGCTAGTGTGGCAGATGACGCGAGTAATGACCTGGGAAGCCTGTGCGAATGTCTTTCTCATCAAAAACTTCATCCCATGTTAACACATAGTATAACTTCCGGGTTCACGTTCACCGTCTAGTCGACATGGCGGTCGGCAACGTGATGTGGCATCCCCACGCAGCGCATCCCGTCGCCCTCGACCCCATGGCGGTCAGAGCGCGGTCGAGGTTTTCCATCCGCCCTCCGCGATCCTGGGCTGTCGCATGGCCAGGCACATGTCGGTCGTTCAACAGGTACAAGTCCTGCATGCGCTTGTCTGTAGTCATTTGTCCCCGGTGTTCGCGGTGACTGATGCATAGCCCCAGTTTGCAAGAGTCCCGTGGTAGTAAGAGAAGGCAGAGTAGCGCACCGCCACGGTTGTGCACATCACGCGCGCGCGCTCTTTCTCCGTATGGATGTCGTCAGAGTTGTGAGTCGAAGAAGCAAAAGAAGGTGAAACAAGGAAATTGCGATGAGTTGGAGCAAAGAGAGGTGAAGACTCTGTGGAGACATGAGTTGTGCATGCCCAGCGCGAGGATGACTCCTGCAGGTCCCGAATTTCGGCGATGCCCTGGGACCAATCATGCGCGGGCACGGGTGCAATAGTGGGCCTGCATTCGCTGTCATCTAGGCTGTGATCTAGCATCTTCCTTCTCCCCGTCACACCATCGTGCGGCTCTGAGTCACTCTGCAGCCTACTGACATCCTTGACTTAGCTTGTACCTGCATACGTGATTCAATGTCATCCCATGTATATAAGGCTGGGTAGGTATCTTGCTCCTATGCTTGACTCTCCTGAGACTATCAGCCGCCTTTGCGGCTTTTCGCCCCACCACTCTCCATCTCTCCTCAACCCTATTATTACTTATTCACACATCCACAAGAACTTGAAATAGACGACATGGGCAAACGTCACAACAGAAAACGAACTAGAAGCCGTCCTCGGAACCGCAACAACAACCACGACAATTCACCTCCGCAAGCCATCAACCACACTCGAAGCGAGTCGGTCAGCACTACCTCTTCAACTCTCTCCGCAACCAGCTCCTGTTTCCACCCTCAAAGCTATCCGAATGCGAGTGCCAGTGCGAACCACTGGCAGCAAACTTACACCGCATGGCAAACCCGGCTTCGACTACAACAGGAGCAGGAGCAAGAGTTAGAGACTCAACGACTGCGCATCTTTGGTGGACTACCGGAGGATGAGAGGACCTTGATGGAGCCGATGCTCAAGGTGGTTACGGATCTTTTTGATGGTTTCTACGATTACGAAGATCCGTGATGATTAGAGTGCTGGTTCTTTGCACATCTCTACTCCTGCGCATGGGCATCCATTTCAACGGACGATACATGTTTTTTACGACGAACACGACACGAATTAACGACCAAACCAACGATGACTCTGGTAGCCAGCCGGGGGCGTGGGACAACATCTGGGCACGGACTCGAAGCAGATCAGACAGCACCTGCGTCGGCCCAACTGGGTCGGCCCGCAAGCGCTGTCTGGTTGGTTCAACATTGCTCAGCCCTAGGACTCCGGCTTCACGCATAGGCGGCGGAATCGAAGACTATGGTGGAAGAGACAGCTGGATGCACGCCTGATGCATGTGCTCGCTCGAGTTCTGAACTCGCGGGCATGTGCTATTGGCTAGAGCGTCGCTGTCTCTGAGGATGGCGGAAAGAAACGAAGGACGCGCATGCGTATTGGTGGAGGAGTCATCTTGGTTAGGAGGAATGTTGTACATCTGCAGCTCTCTGCAAGGCAGACAAATGTCCGATTAGTTTATCAATATTTCTTTAATTAATCTAAATTTTACACAAGTAGCCACACCCTCTTGCAATATCCATGAGTTCTTTCCCTCGCTGAGGTGTAACTGCCTTGAGTTGCCGCTCCGCCTCCAGAGCTTTGACGTTTTACTAGTCTATAATTGGTACATATTCATACAACACTCTTTGAGCTTTAGCTACTTCTCACTGTCAATACTATCAACTGCTTCAGAGTTTAATCCTGCTTTGCACACAACGACTGTCCAGGAGACTGACCGACTTTGCGCAACTCTTATCCGACCAACTCCAAGATACAAGTAGGTGTTGTCAAGTATGTGCGTCCGGTTCACTAAACTGACGAGCGACTATCTTCTAGCCAGCGATGACGGACACCGAAGGATTCCGGTTCCTTGACCTCTCCAAGGACATCCACCTCGAGATCTACGACCTTTTCCTTGCCGAAACGCGTTGCTATACAGTACAAACGATACGTGGGCGAGCCATCCCGCGCATTAGCGTTGCCACAAAGCGCATCCCATGCATGGGACTGCTCACTACCTGCCGACAGATATATCACGAAGTCTCTAGCATGCTGGCTTCAAAGTTGGATAGCGAGCCACTTCGTATTTGTACGAATTGGGAAGAAATGTGTATCCCCACTATGAATCTTCTGATGGTTTGTACACCAGCATTTGTCACCGTCGATGATCCTGTCTCACGCGTCGAGCGCTACCATTCCAGCGGCCAGGTCGGCCTCCAAACTCCGAATCTGCGCGAAGTCCTTCTTCTTCACAACGCAATGCCCAGTGGCCCAAAGCTCAAAGTCGAGTTCACCGTTGAGCTTGATGATGAGCTTCTACGTCCTGGAAATCTACAGTCGATGAAAGAAGCTGTTCAGATATTCTACCGCTGGCTTGGAGAGATGAACAACAATCAGTTGCTCATTTCTGAAGGCAGTCCCATTGATATTACAATCCGGCCTAAGCCGAAGACAGAAACAAGCAAGAAATTACTGATCAGGGAGCGACTGTTCGATAATGAAGCGTTCCCGAAGGAGTTCTGGATAGGGAAGATGTGGACTTGTCAGGTCGGTGAGTGCATGACGGAGAGCGAGTGGCAACGCAACTGGGAGGAAGGCAAGCATTTCGGAAAGTTGGAGCGGATGTAGCAGCTACATGACTTCGCAGGAGATCATGACACAGGAGAAGGGGTGGCTGGACTAAAGTTACAAATGGTTGAGGCACCGCTACCGGATTACAGTGTAATGAGCCGCCCACCAAGGACGTTTCAGTAGGGAAACCTCTTTCAGGTCTCTTGAAATCGACACACAAGTAAGGATTGGAAATTCAGAAAGCCTTTCATAAATACCTGTCCTCTTTTGGTGCGTGTAGTTAAAAGGAGGCTGTGAGAAACGCTTCTGCCAAAGCATTGGTAATGGCCTCGCAAGACATCCGAATACCGCCTTTAGCAATCAGATATCTCGGGCTATATCAAATCGAAGGCTTGAGAATGTAGCGCATTGATGCTTCAACATCCAAAGTGACCAAATTCGTCATTGCCTCGATGGCACTGTTCCACCACCCTCGTTCTCCCTCCACCGTGGAATCCACTTACAAGCAATAAAGACCCCATCACTATAAACAGGAACCCCAAAATCGTAAAGCGCAGCTAACTAAAGCAGGCTTACGTACCCACCGTGCGCACAAACCCGGCTGAGCGGTCGCTACACTATCGTACGACCCTCGCCAACGGTCACCCCACACGCATCCCGGCAACGCCCGAACACGGTGTCCTTGCTGCCTGTGTCTCGCCACCGAAACTCTTTGGTCGTGAATCGCAGAAGCGTATCAGACGATGTGATCGTATATTCGGGGATATCGACCAATGGTTTTGTAGACCGTCTGTCGTGTCTCGCGATTCTGGGAGCTAGGTTGGAGTTCTTGCATGTTGGCACGAGGTGCATGCCTCGATGCTGGTATCGTTGGATCACGCAACCAGCTGTGTGAGGAGAGGATTGTAATCATCGGCAGGCACCGCAATCGCGATTATTGCTTCAAGGAATCGTGATGAATATAAGGTAAATGGGTTTCTTTCGTTGGTGTTCATCATCTGCATCCAGTCACATCCATCTTCAGCTATACAACTCTATCTACCTTCAACGTCTCATATCACACATACACTATAAGCCTCTTGCACAAAAGTAGCCAAGAATCTTTCCCATCTTACCGATCAGCAAAGACGCCCACATAACAAATCGACAATCCAACAACTCCTAGCATATAGGACCAACCAACCAAGATGCCAGCAGTACCAAGATCCTACCTTCCCTCCTTCGCTGCCTTCTTAGGTAAGTCTACCATCTCTGTCTCTCTCTCAATCATATCCGGCATGAAACTAATGAATCACTTCAGCATTCGGCATAACCTACACCACAATCGTCGCAGCAAAAGAAGGCGCAGCCGTCGACGGCGCGCGAACCCGCTGGCAAGACCAACATGCACGAGCAAGGAATGCTTTGAGCGGGGGTATGACTCTAGTGGACATGGAGAGGAAGTAACATGTTTCTGAAGAACGCGGAAGAGAGAAGAGAGAAGGGTGTACCGTTCAGATTTATGTATGTACTAGGGTAACAGGAGTTTTAGGTCTTGTCTATGCAGCTGTAGGACTAAAGTCCGCAATATATTTCATTTCATCATCTTCAACGAACATACATCCTTTGTCGCCTGTCTCTGTTTAGATATCCTTCTTCTGCAGAAGTTTACATTGCCTACCCTCCCCATCCATCCTCGCAACAACATACCCCCACCTCCTCTCCCTCATATACCACCCTCCTCTGCCACCCTCCACATACTGATCCCTACCATCCACTCATACTATCTTCATTATACCCCCAGGGTGCCCCCCTATAGCAATCTACCCAGTATACCTATCGGCAGTCAATGATAGTACCCGGCGCATGAATCCCCGTGTTTTAGAACGCTTTAGGTAGGTTGTCAAGTTGTGTTGGAGGGGCTCGTTACAATGAGGAATGTGGAACGCGGAATGTGACGTTGAAGACATATTAAAAACGGTTGTCGGGATGCGATATCGGTATGCAGGGTAAAGGTGCAGGGGATGTGCATTGGATTGGGGAAGGATGCAGATACGAGTACGTGGAAGGGCGGAGGGTTCGGGTGGTTAATCTGGGTAAAGAGTGTAGGGCAGAGGCGATGTGGGGGGTAAGAAGGATTAGGACCGGGCGGATGGACGGATGGAACATACGGTGATACTGTCGCTGGTAGATGAGAAGAGAACATCACAGTCAAGCATGTTGGACAAGTAGTAACTTCATCACTATATTCAATCCCACATCCGCCTCCACGTGACCCCAGTTTCGACTGCTTCATCGCCCCAACAGACCTTGGGGTCAGAATATATCTACAAGAAAACCTATTGCCATGGAACGCCATTCAGAACAGGATCAAGGTACGCATGAGAACTATCGCGCAGTACCGAAAGACAAAGGAAAGCAGGAGAAGGCCTACTCGCTGATTGCGGCTGAAACCCAAGTCGCACGTCGGAAGAGCCGACTTGGATATATATGATCAAACAAAGGGAATCGTACAATCATGTAGGACAGTCTATGAAAAACGAAGTCGCTGCAGTGTTCGCGAAAAGAAGATCAGAAGGGACAAATTGTAGAGTCATTGGCTATAAGTCAAACGACGATGTGATGTCGGCTAATCTTTGCATGGCGGGGCTCATGGCAGCAATCCTTTTCGCCAGACGCTCTGCTAGAAGTGTCTCGTTCGCTTCGTCTGAGATGACTAGCGAGTAGTGTGCGAAAGCCTTCTCGGGATTGGTGAAGAGCGTCTCGTGGTCCTCAAGCGGTGCGGCGGCAGTGGTGGAAGGGGCGGACGAGGAGTAGTACAGGTCATACTCAGCATCTACCTCTTCGGTCTCGTCGACGACGGCGGGAGCGGTGGGCTCAGACTGGACGGGGCGCTCAATCACGGGGTAGTCGGCCTTGACCTCCTCGACAGTCGAGTCGTCCTCGGCGTTCAGGATAGCGCTGTATCCCTTGCCAGACATGGCCTCGATGTCGAGGGGGTTGGTGGGGCCCTCAGGCAGCTCAGTGACGGCGAAAGCAACTGGTTGCTGGAAGTTGAAGCCGTTGTTAGCACCCCAGTTGTTGCCATTGTTGGTGTTCAGGTTGAGCATAGCAAAGTCGAGTTGGGGCTCGGGGACCATGGTCATACCAACGTGGGTGTTCTCGGCCTGCGACATGCCGTTGAACTGCTGTTGTTGGAACTGAGTGGGGGCAGGAGCAGCGGCGACGGGTGCTGCGGTTGATGGCATGGAGGTCATGGGGGCCTTGGCTTGGAGTGACTCATCACGAGAGAGCTCCTCGAGGAAGGGAGTAAAGGCCTGGTGGCGGAGCAGACGCTCGATGAAAGCGCGCGAGCGGGCGTTCTCCTCCATGAGAAGGCGGTTCTGGGAGCGTAGTTCGTTGGCCTCGTTGACCTTCATGGCAACCTCGCCTTCGAGCTGACCAATGTATTCTGGTAGTGTTAGTCGATGTTGCAAGTGTAGTGGTGCCGATGTAGCTTACCCTTCCTTCTCGAGCGGAAAGCGCGAGCTGAGACCTTGTTACGGAGCTGGCGGCGCTCCTTGGAGCTGAGCTTCTTGCCCTCCTCGGACGCAAGCAGCCTCTCGTCCTCGTCCATGTCCTCTTCGTCCTTCTTAGCACGGATAATGTGGGGGAGGAGGCCTTGGTTGTCGTTGGCCATGTTGGCAGACGCGTTCTGGCTGTCGGCCCGGATCTGTGCGACGACACGGGTGATCATCTCTTCGGTGTGGGCGTCGCTGAGCGGGCTTGAGGTCTTGCGGCTGGCCGAGCTGGTGGAGGCCATGCGATTCTGTTGCTGTTGTTGGGCTTGCTGCTGCTGCTGTTGTTGTTGCTGTTGCTGGAGGGCCTGCTGTTGCTTCTGGTGGGCCAACTGTTGTGCGCGCTGCTGCTGGGCCTGCGCCTGCGCCTTGGCCATGGCAGCCTGCTGTTGATGCATACCGGGCCAGACCCTGACGTTGGTAACCTCCTCTTGTGTGATGGCGCTTGGGTCGACGAAGTCGTCCTGCGAAGCCTCGTTGAAGACGAAGCTGTTCTGACGGTAGTCGACGCCCATGTTCATGCCAACGTCCATGGGCAGGCCGTTGTTCCAGGCGCCGTCCATCATAGAGTCGCCGCCCATCATGGCCATCTCGTCCAAGCCAGTGGACGAGAACATGGGGAAGCCGGTGTTGTAGCCGGCGTTAAGGCCGGGAAGGGAGCCAGAGGGCAGGCCGGTTTGCTGCTTGAAGCGCTCGTACTCGTGGCTGGGCTTTGCGGGCGTCTGGAGGTCGTCGTCAATGTTTGTGCTGGTGGGACTGGCCATAGTCGATGTCGCACTGGACTCCCGCTTCAGAGTGGCAGGCTGCGTGGGCGAGGGCATCTGGCCAAAGTCGAAGAACTCATTGGGGTCGACGCATTGGTTCGGGTGGCCGTTGAAGGGGGCCATGGTCATGGCAGGCTGGACTGCGGTAGCCATGTCGCTATTGTTTATTCGACTGCTGGGGAGTCGCTGATCGTGTTTGAGCGGTCCTTAGGCAGGCAAGCGGCAGTCTTGGGGTGTTGTGTTGCGGGCACTTGGGTGGGTGACAGGAGCGGTTAGCCTGCTGGAAAGTCGTCGTCAGCTCGACGCTGGGCCGGTTCTGCCGGAAGTGTGGCTGTGCCGTGGGATCCGCGCCTCCTGCGAGCACGTTTGTTGCGGTGATGGAGCGAGTGTTTTGGTGGTAGAAGTTTGTGTCGTTAATGGTGATGCAGAGTGCAATTATCGGATGAGAAGATGGTGGAAGAGAAGCAGAGCGAGGGTGAGGATGGGCGACGGCGGCTTCTTTGCTGGGGCCCTCGCCCTTGCCGTTTCAGACTGAGGCGGAGTCCCCCTTCTCGAAATAGAAGGAAGCAGGCCCAACCCGGTTGGCTCGCTCGCCCGCCGATCACTGCCCTCTGCCCAGCAAACTCCGGCTCTTCCTCTCCTGAGCGCCGGGACATCTCATCGGCTTCACCATTCTTAGTACACTAAACACAATATCAGCATAATGCTAATTCTTGGATCTCTTTGCCCCTCCGCGTTGCTTCCACGGGGCCAGCCTCTGACGTCACGGCTGTTATTTCCATCAACTACACAACCA